ATTTTAAATTTGGCGGGAAAATTTATGTGAATAAATGGTTTTGAAAATAATTTGGGAGTCGCCATCGGCCTTTTGGGTTAGGTAGGTCGAATACCTAAAAATTATTTTTTTAAAAGAGTTTTAAGAAAACACCAATAAAAAAATAAACTGATCTGCGTTTATAACCAAAAATTCATTCTTTTTAATAATAAAGAGGGATTCGTGGTCGGTTACGTTTAGGGAAGGATTAGCACCCCTACAACGCCAAAAATTGGTACTTTTTAATTATAAATTGTCTCTATTATTAAAAATATTAAAAATTTAAAATATATTTAATTTATAATCCTATTATTTCAAAATTATAAAAAATATTTAAAAATATCATAAAAGGACTTCTAGGTGCCTTAAGACAGCTCTTTTCTTTGATATTGATAAATATTAATTTAAATTAAATAATATTTTAAATAATTAATTATTAAATTTTAAAATACCAGAATAGGACATCCAGTTGTATTAAGACTGTCCTTTTCTTCGATATTGAAAAATAAATATTAAAATAATTTATTTAAAAAAATTAATTATTATTTATTATATATATATTTATGAATACATAAAAATATTTAAAAATATAAACAAGTAAAATTAAAACAATAAAAATACAACTAGAACGATATATTTAAAAGCAGTAAAATAAATGAAAACATTTAAAATAAATGACTAAATTATAGTAAAAGTAAAATTAAAAACCTAATTCATAATTACTCAAAATTATAGGGATTAAACATGCTATTTCTTTATTTTATTTATTTAATGACTAAAATAAAATTATCTAAAATTCGGATATTAGAATAAAATAAATTAAAAATAGAAACTAGGGATTAAAATATTATTTATTAAAATTAAGGGATTAAATCTGTTATTTATCCTAAATATATTATTTTAATATAAAGGACTAAAATAAATAAAATTAAAATTAAAGATCTGAATTAAAAGGATTATAAACTCGATTTAGTGACTAAAATGTAAAGTTTACAAATCTTGATGACTGCGGACGGGATTTAACAATTTAAATTTGCACATATAGTCCTTCCTGAAACGACGTCGTTCAGGAAGGCCTATATAAGGTCCAAAACGGCTGGCCCGAAGGGCCAGCCTTCATTTCATTTTTTTTTCTCTCAAGCAGAGAGAGAGCCAGAATTCTCTCTGGCCTCTCTCTATATTCCCTCGCCGGAGGGAATCCGGCAGCCGTCTGCCGCCGCGAATTCTGCCGCCGACCACCGCCTCCGGTGGTCGGAAATTCCCCAAATTCACCTAAATCGTAGATCTAAACACCCTAAGACCGAATCCGGCCTTTGTTTCCCCAAAAAGACTCCTAATCGGAGTAAATCTATGAAAATACCTTCGGTATTTTCTGTTTTCCGGCGATGTTTAGTGCTTCCGACGATGGTCAAGGCTTATTTGGTAAGCTTCTCTCCTCTCTTTTTTTTTTGTTGTTGCTGTGTTGTTGTTGACTGGGATCGTTGGTAGTTTTTGTATCTCTCTCTGTTTCTGTTGTTTCCTCGTCTCTCCATTCTTCTCTGTATTTCTCTATCTTCTTTTTTTTGCTCGTAGATGGGGTGATGGCTTTATAGCCATCACCGGTGTGGCCATCGGACCGGGTAAAAGAATGCCCTTCGGTGAGTCACCGGACTCCCAGTGGTGACTCACCCCATAGCCATGGCGTGGACGGCTGGCGTTGGAGCTTCTGGAGCCTTCGGTTGGGACGTGGCAGCGGTGGAGACGGCGAGAGCAGCTGCGGCGGCCGCGTGGCCCTAGGGTATCATACCCTAGGGTTTGCATCTGGAGGTTCTTGGACCGTTGGATCATGCCAGATCCAACGGTGGATGGATGATGGCGGCTAGGGTTTAGGGTTACATATTTGGGTTAAATGGTTGGGCCATTGTAATTGGGCCGGTCGATTGGGCTTGTATATATTTTTTATTATTATTTATATATGTATTTAATATATTTAATAATAATAATAATGATAATAATAATAATAATAATAATAATAATAATAATAATAATAATAATAATAATAATAATAATAATAAATCAATATGGGTAAAAAATTAGTATCTTCACCATCGTTTGAGCAGAGCCTTCATAATATTCTCAAAGACACCACACCATCTTCAAAACCGTCCTCAATCGAAATTGTTCTTCAAAGTCTATACTCCTTAATCTTTGACATGTCATTTTTTTTATATAAAAGTTTAGGTTAGGGTGGGCAATTCATAATTGTCGGAGGTATTCCACGGAAGTTGCTCTCAACCTAGCGTTGGGGGCAGCCTACTACCCTATTTCCCCTTATCCCATTACATATAGGAATAGGGTCAACTAATTTTTATTTTTAGGTTAGGGTGGCTCCCCTGTCCAGGGTTAGGGCATAGCTAAGACTCAATTGAGATTTACATAGGAATTTACATATTGCCCACCAATAGTGATGATGGTAGGATTCAAACTTGATCTTACAAACTCAAATTCTTGAATCTCAACCACTTATACTAATACTCCTTGACCATTGACAACCAAATCTAATATATGATAGTTATATATGTATAGTCTATCGGTCTATTAATAAACATAATTACTCTATATTTGACACCAATAAACTAAAAACAATATTAGTCCAACTCAAATCCAATTGGACGATGCCACTAAAATCTAAATTCCCAACTGTCCTTAAAGTTAAAATAAAGTTTTTATCCAATAAAATATTCTATTTAAGATATTCTTTTTAACGAGACAAGTCCAACTAAGGTCGGATTTGACCAAATTAAATAGATTTTCGCAATTATTCATGTTACCTTTATCTCATTTTACTGTTTTACCATTTCATCTTTTATACAATTTATTTTTAATTAAGAGATAAGGTTGTTGCTCCCTCCCTTTCATATTAAAATATATATGTATGTATGTATGAATATTAAATTGGGGTATTGGTGATTGATTAATACTCATATAAATTCACTCTTCAATTTAGGGGTGTGCAAACCCGGGTTTCGGGTACCCGAAGTGCCCGGTACTCGGATCTTCGGGTAATTGATTTCTCGGCTCGTGTCCCGACCTGGATGTTGTGGCTATCCGGTAATCGAGTATCCGAATTTTACAGGTACCCGGATACCCGGTTTTTTCTTCAAATTATTAATTAAAAAATACACACATATTTAAATGTTTGAAACTTCGAATTACATAGTCCAACATCCAAACATAATTAGAAAAAAATGTTAGTCCAACATCCAAACATAGTTAAAAAAAGTTATGTTAGTATCATTGTTCATTTTTAAATATGGGTGACCAAAACAGAATCAAAACGTAACTTTAGACATAATTTTGAAAATAAAAAATAATCGAGTGACCAAACATAAATTAGATAATATACAAGTGACCAAATAAGCAGTTTACCCTAAATAAATATATATATGAATATAAGTGACCAAATAGGTAGTTTACCCTAAATAATAATCGAGTGACCAAAACATAAATTAGATAATATATAAGTGACCAAATAGGTAGTTTACCCTAAAAAAATCCCTAACCCGGTACTCGGGTAACCGGGTACCCGAAAAAATTCAATTTTGTGACCCGGACAGGTACCCGACCCATCCAGATAATTGTTTTTAGAAAATTACCTGATTTTTTAAGTTCAGGTCAGCGGATAAACGGGTCGGGTTAACCAGGTCGGGTATTTTTGCACACCCTTACTCTTCATTGTCATGTGAGGTAAAGCTTCCATCTTTTATGTTCTTTGAGTATATTTATTACATAGTTTTAATTGAAATTTAAACAAAAATCATGGTTTAAGAGTTAGTTTTTGTATTTGTAGCATATATATTTTATCATTTTCGTCTTCATAGTATTGTCGCATCAATATAACTCTTAAAGTTGTTTAGGGGCATAATCTTAACTCTCGAAGTTCATTTTTACTAACAAAACCGTTAGTCTCATACGTTTGTAGATGTCATTAATTTTCACATCAACTAATATTATTGACATGGCTTGATGATGACGTGACATTTATTAAAAAAATAAATAATAAAATATTTATTAAACAAAACGGTTAAAAAATATCCAAAATTTTAACATAATCCCTTAATCTCGTTGAAATAAATAATAAAATTTTGAGATTTTTTTTATAAATATTGTGTTTAATAAATATTTTAATTTAATCTCTTGATCTACAGTCACATAAAATTAACAATTCTATTAGTTAAAATGGTCAACGAACTTCGAGGGCTAAGATGATGCATCTAAATAATTTTAAAAGCTAAATTGATGTGAAAATACTATAGAAGTGAAAATGATAAATTATGTCTACTGTAGGGACAAAAATAACCCTTAATTAATTTAGATAGAACCAATCTAGATCATCAAAAATCTATTTTAAATTTAATCACATTCATGTTAAGTTTCACGAATTAAACTTCAAATTTGAAAACTTTATATGGATAATAAATAATCAAGTGACAACGAATTTACTTTTTTACATAATATAAATTATGATACTCATTTAAACAATATGATGAAATATAAAAATGTTATAAATAAACTTATAATATTATCATCTTTTTTTAATTTTAATTTTATTAACGTATTGAAATGACATACATCACCAGTAGGAGGGCCCGCGTAATTTTTTTATCTTTTATTAATTTAATAATTTTTTTGAAAGATTAACTATAAATTACATTATTTTTCAAATTAGTATAATTTTTAATAATTTAAAATGATTTTAAAATAATATTGATTCATAATATTTTTTAATTATTAACGACAAACGTGACAATTGTTCAAATATATTACCTCTAGACTAATCTTAACAATTTCACTTAAAATACATATCTTCCAATAAACTCCTTCAAGCCCTTTTCTATTAAAGAAAAAAGTATATAAATATCATGTAAAAAATAAAAACATGATTTAATTTAATATTCATAAAATAAATGAAAACCAGAAAGGTTAATAAAAGAACTCAATCATGTTACATTCTTTCTTGCTCACATATTTTTGTCCTTCTCTCTCTCCTCCATAGTTGTCTGCTTCTTTCCCTTACCATTTTTTTCACAACTCATTTCTTGCATCAGCTTTTTGCTTGCTTAACAATGCAGGTAAGCTTTATTTCTTAGTTATATTTCATGTCTTTTGTGTTTAATGATTCTGGAAACTGAATCTTATTTGTTGTTCTGAGTTAAAAATGTTGTCTTCGTTGGGATTCTCAGACAAGAACTGTACAAGTGAAGAACCTGTCAGATCTAGCTACTGAGAGGGAGATTCACGAGTTCTTTTCGTTCTCTGGTGATATTGAGCACATTGAAATTATAAGGTATGTTGTTATTTTCCTTTCTTTCCTGGTGTTTCCATAAAAGGGCTGGTGAATGATGAATTTGTTTGGTAGCTGAGAAAATTTGAGAAAATGAAACAAAGTTGGAATTTTGGATCTTGGGTCTTCCTTTTGTCGGCCAAAGCTTATGCTTTTTAAAAAATTGAAGTTAAAACAAAAAACTTGTGTTGAATTTTGAATTTTGTATATACTTTACTCTATGGCAACCAACCTGGAAGGTAAAGCTGCTTTGCCTATGGAGTTTTTATTTTATTTTATGATTTATTATGGGCAATTTAACATAAAAAAGTAGTGATTGTGCTGGTTAACTTGGATTGATCTGTTGTTTTATGGATTCTGCAGTGAAACTAGCCAATTAAAGACTGCATATGTTACATTCAAAGATCCCAAAGCGCTTGAAATCGCCTTATTATTATCGGTTCGTGCTTAATCCAATTGCATTGTTCCTTTTTGCTTAGCAGAGTTCCATTGATGCATGGATTTACTTTTCTTCTTGGCTTGTAATTCTCTGATATCAGTTACTTTAAGAAATCGGCTAACCTCGCAATGTCTTTAACTTCGTTGCTTGAACCGAAATTTGTGAATTTATCTCGAAAGTTGGTTGCTTGTGCCTTCTTAAAGTGAATAAAGTATTGGAACTGGTTGAATTGGAATAAGTAGCTTGTAAAGTAATGCTTTAATTGTAAAGCAATGTCAAGTTGGAAAAGTTACCTAATTTAGTAACTTTCAATTTATGTTATCTTCACAGGATGATCAATATTTTTAGAAATGGAGAAATATAATTTCCTTTTGGTTTCTGGAATATGGCTCACTAATAGTATCATATCTAATTAGATCACCTTGTGGTTTCGTCGGATGCTCCTATTGTGGGATAAGTACTCCATCGATTCCCTCCCTTTTTATCGGATACATCAGCTGTGTATGATGGGACAAATTGAAATCCTTTCCTACTTGTTTCCAACTTTCTGAACACACTGTTTAATTCCGTCAGCTGTATGATTCTCGATGTTCTCTTGTTCGGATTTTCTGCACTTGTGTTTTCTGCGTTAGTTAAGAAATAGATTAATATATCTCATTGAAAGAAGTTCAACTAATGGCATGAAGTATATAATTTACATCTCATTGAAAGAAATCTCTGTTCATTTCAAGGTAACACTAAATTCCATGAATGACAGTAGGAAGTAACATTTCCGAATCTTGTTCTGCAGGGAGCAACACTCGTTGACAAGATTGTGACCATAATTTGTGCTGAAAATTATGTACCAAAACCCGAGATTCATGTAAGTCAACTGAGAGGTTTTGCTTTCTACTTTTAATTGCATACCGAAATTCTTAATCTTATTGTTACAACCTGTGTAGGAATCAAGCGCAGCAGATGACATTCTGTCCTTTGCTCCTGCTAGGCATAGTGCATCAAATGATGAGGTACCAGTTTTGAAGTTTTTTTGCATAGAAATGTTTCCTAGCTGCACAGACTGGCTCAGCTCGGGAAGGAGACGGGAAAATATGTTGATGTGTTGTATTCTTTTTAATCTTTTTTATGCAGAGCTGGTTTATATCATATTGTGTGACTAGTTTAGCTGAACCAAGTAGATTTTGAACTTTCAAGTTTTTCACAAAAACTACCAGACTAAAGAAAATATATTCCCGAACTTTCATGCAGTCAGTAACCCTCTACCAACCACAAGAACACAAAGGATGTTAACGAAAAAGAAAAGCATGGTTTAGATTTCTTAAACCGGACTTGCCAATTCTGTTGTTAATGCTTGATATACTGAATTGCTGCCTCTCTGCCGTGATGCTTAATAATTTAGTTTATGATTTGGGTTATCGGTGTGTTTCAGCAGGACAGAATGAGTCCACCTAGCAGTGGAAGAATGTATGTTGGTAGGGCACAAGATGTTGTTGCTAGTGTCTTGGCCAAAGGTTCAGCCATACGACAAGATGCAGTTAACAAAGCGAAAGCATTTGACGAGAAACATCAGTGGAGAGCCAGTGCTTCTGCAAAGGTCATTTCGTTTGATCGGAGAGTCAGGCTGACTGAGAAACTGACTGTGGGAATTTCAGTGGTTAATGAGAAAGTAAGATCTGTGGACCAAAGGTTGCAGGTGTCTGATAAAACAATGGCTGCAATATTTGCAGCAGAGAAGAAAATTAACGACACGGGATCAGCCGTCAAATCTAGCAGGTACGATTTCTCCTTTCAGCACGGGTGCAAGTCCACTCACACTACTCTGCTTCAAAGATAATAACGAGAGGAAAAAAGGGTCACCATCCCTCTAATCGCCTTTGTCCTCATGTTTTATTCTGGACAGGTACGTAACCGCCGGGACAGCTTGGCTAAACGGTGCTTTCAGCAAAGTTGCAAAGGCTGGGCAGGTTGCTGGTACAAAAACCAAAGAAAAGTTAAACCTAGCAATGTCAAACTTGACTGCCAAGGTATGGCATTCCACTAGCACGAACCTAAGAAACAACGATCGGTCTTCCATGCTAATTACACCATTAATTTTGTTCGAGTGTAGGATGCAATTGCTGTGTAAGTCGGAGAATTTCTCGTCTTGAGGTCGCTTTACAAATTGTTATCGACACACGCATTGGATGACCTTGTTACAACGATTTATCGAGGAGGATCGAGATGCTTGTGTTAGAGTGCACAAAGTTGTGTTCAGTTTTGGGTTTCGTCGTGTGAAGTTATGCAAATGCAATGTGTTGCGTATTCCATTTGATCCTTTTTTAATTTTTGCAATATATTCTTTGATTACTAGAGAGTATTGATGTAATTTTCTCCTTTTTTTAATCTTTTGACTAAATTTGAACTTGCACTCAATCATCCATAAAAATTGTCCCAACTTATTAACCGTAGCACATTAAAATATAAGGATTAAATTTTAAATTTGAATAATTAAAGGATTAACATGATGATTTGATCAATAATTAGTTGTGTAAAAGGTGGTATATATGCGATGACTATTAGCTATTGTGAAGACAACATTATAAAGGATTGTCTAGAAGATTGTTAAAGAATTATCCTGCTTTTTTACGCTTCACACCCAATTTTTTTTTTACGGAATGAAAAGCTTGTTTTAGTTTTATATGTATTTAGAAAGTTAGATAAGCGAAAATAGACCGTTGAGATTAAATTCTTGATTTTTTAGTTAATATCTTTTTATTTCCTACTATTAATCTTAGTAGTCTATTTTTACTTAACTAACGGTCTTAAATATGAGAAAAACTAAAAAATTTTATATTGTGTTATTAAATCATATATATATATATATATATATATATATATATATATATGGGTTAGGATCCACTTACATAATGTAAAACGCTTTAGTTTTACACAGATATAAGACCGTTAGATGAGTGAAAATGCAGAGCTGAGATTAACTCATTGTTTTTATTTTCCATTGAATATTTATCATATCTTACTGTTAATCTCAATCACATATTTTCACTCATCCAACAGTCCTAAATATGTGTAAAACTAAAAGAGTTTTACATTGTGTAACAAGATCTTATCCCTATATATATAACGTTAGATCCACTTGCACCTAGTGTAAAACTTTTAACTTTACATATTTTTATGATCATTCAAACGTTGAGACTAATTCTTTGTTTTTTTTCAAGCGAATATCTTCATATCTCCTACTGTTAATCTCAATTTTTCATTTCTCTCATTCAACTGTCATAATAAGGTGTAAGACTTTTAGTTTTACACTAGGTATAATTAGATCATGCCCCATATATATATATTAGTAGATCCATAAATATTTTTGAGAGTAGACATACATATATGTTAAAAATATAAAATTTTTGTATCGATAGACAGATAAAATTGTAGGATAAACACAATTAATAAAATAATTAATTAATTAAATAAAATTTAGATTATATGCAGGGAGAGTGTGGGAAAAGGTTGGGAGATGATTGCCTTTAAATTGTGCAACTTTGGAAATGTAATTATACTTGGTAAGTTCAGGTAGATAATTATGCTTGCCTTTATATTGACCTTTTAGAAAAATCAATGGAAGGAAAGATTCAAAGAAAATCATATAAAATATCTTTTAGAGTATAAGTCATAATTATATAAGAAGAATCGAAATCAATCATTATAATTATATTTCAATCTCACTTTTTAGCCCCTAATTTCATTTTTTTTTGAAGATTTATTAATATAATATTAAATTAATTGTTCAAAATAATAGAATATATTTTTGTTCTATAAAATTTTATTATTTAATTTTAGTAAGGGTCTCGAAAATGTCCGAAACTGATATGCAAGAATATATATAAAAAAGTCCTAATCAAAGGTGTGGCTGTAAGCAAGCTTACCTTCTTTTTATATGCCAAATTAAACACCCAAAATTAACTTCCAACCAATAACATGAATCTTAACAACAAATCAAATAAGTTAAGTTAATATTAAATCTTTCCATGATATATATGTTGGCGGATCCAGAATTCTTTTAATAGAATAGATACAAATAAATTTTAGAGTGAGTATCATTAGTAAAATGAACAATTAATATAATGAAATTCGAATTTCAGGGCGGACACCCTGACATACATATAGATCCACCAATATATACATACATATATATATATATGGATTGAATCATGTCACACAATGTAAAACTCTTTTAGTTTTACATATATTTATGACCGTTAGATGAGTGAAAATATATGATTGAGATTAACAGTGGTGAATGAGAAGATATTTACTGTAAAATAAAAAAACAAGAAGTCGGTCTCAGCCATATACTTTTACTCATCCAATGATCTTAAATATGTGTAAAACTAAAGAGTTTTACATTATGAAATTTTTATTTAATTTAATTAATTTATTAAAACTCTTAAAATACTAATATTGAATATGTTTTTAGTTAGAAATTTAATATAAAAAATCATTTTGATTTTTCATGTGTCTTGGCTGACATGGTTTATAATTCTGATGATGATTTCTATCATATTACCTACAACTACAAGTGAAAACAACAGGCTAAAACAGATCATTAAAAAAACATAAGGCGATAAAAATATAACATTATCATACAATATATACCTTTCCATGAAGTTTTCAAACTAAGCCATTTCGATTCAATCAAGTTGTCACGTGTCCATTTATTTTTTTAACAATTTTTAATAATATAAATTAACGTAAAATTAAAATATTACTGTTGGTACTTGGTATATAAATATAAATAAAAATAAAGCTCCTGTTTGTTTTGTGAACAAAGACAAAGGCATATAAAATCAAATGAAATCTTGAGTGTTAAGTCCAGCACCATGCATGTGAGTATCGTCCGAAGTCCAAGCTTTTGCAAACTGTATTCTTTTATTTATTTGTTTTTTTTTTCAAGTTTTATTTACTTTTGTATACTTCTCTTCGAATTCATTCTTGAATTTGAATAAATGATAGAAATTTTTAATTTGTTTAGTTAGTCAAAGGTCCCAAGTAGTAGTGAAACTTGGTGATAGTATTTTGGGGGTCAACCTAAATTTTACAAAATTTAGAGATTTAAATTAAGATTTTAAAAATTTTAAAGGGTTTAGTTTATATTTTCCCCCAAAAGAATTAGGGTATAACTACAATTTTTGGAAAAATTCAGAGGCTTAATGAGAATTTTAGAAATTATGGGAAGGGGTTTAATTGAGAACATTAAAAAAAATTAAAAATTTAATTTGAATTTCTAAAAATTTTGGAGGGGCCAAATTGATTTTTTTTTAATTTTAAGGGTCAAAATTAGAAATTTTTTTTGTGGGGGGCATGACCCCCTCTAGTCTAGCTTATGTTCCGCCTCTGGTTCCAAGTTCAAACACCAGCAACTACAAGATATTTGAATATTCATTGTCAAATTATTTAAATTCTTTAAAATATATACTACCACTCGTAATAACCCTAGATTAATCAAAAAATAAAGTTGAAAATCTGTTCGGTTGGTAATATGTATAGAATTGGTTGTAATTACTTGAAATTATTAAAATTACTTATTTATATTCGTAGGAAATAATATTATCATAAAACAGAACATTAGTAACGACTAGTAAAGAAAATGTAAGAAAATGAGTATGATTTATGAATTAATCTATAAAGGCTTAGGTTAGTGTAAAAATCTAGAATGAGATGATTCGTACGTGAATGTAATGATATGATTCATGATATTATATGATATGTTTAAACATTGATTTATGCACATGTAATAGGATATTATGTAATGCAAGCTTGTAAAAGCATAATCAGAAGTTTTTGAATATAGATAATGTGAAGTTATGCATTAGTATGACATTATAAAATTCGATGATGAAGAAGGCTTAATGTGCACTAAAAATCAGTGAGCATTTGGTATACAATATGGATAGGTTAGCATTGTCTCATCATGAAAACACTGAATATAGTTAGCATATTATAAGATTATGAGATCTCATGCATTTGTACATTGCATAACCCACTAAAAATGTATAGTATATGGTATTCTATATAAACTTCACCTATTTAAGCATCGCGATGAAATATATTGATAATATATTTTGTTACATTTCACAAGTAAATTAAAATATACGGCTTGTCTAATTTACTTTTATATATAATATACAAATACTTTTTAATTTTATTTAGGAATTTTAAAAGTTATTAATAGATTGACTGATTCTTATATAATAATAATAATAATAATATTATTATTATTATTATTATTATTATTATTATTATTATTTAAGATAGTTTAAATTCAAGGGTAAACTATGTATTTAGTCATCCACATATTTATGATATTTTCTTTTGGTAATCCAGCTATTTAAAAAAAATAATTCCCAATGTTACGTTTTGCTTCCTTTTTTATCACCCGCCTTTAAAAAAATAATGGTGATGTTAACGTTAGGTATGATTTTGAAAAAAATAGTTGGGAGACCAAAATGGAATTGCGGGAACAAGTGAGTGACTAAATACATATTTTACCTTAAATTCAAATGTAATGTTTTAATAGTCTGTCGTGATTATAGGGTAGTATCTGTTCAAAATCTTTCTTAGTTATTAAAACGCACACACGCGCCCAATAAATATAATTGCTCGAACCCAAAATCTCTTGGGAGAACAAACATTTCCTAAATTCAAATGTACTTAAATGTGAAATGGCCTCTGAAAGCTCTCAACTCCCAAAAAGATCCCCTCTCTAAAAAAAAACAACGCCAATAAGATGAAGATGCACCTGACTCCCTCGACTCCGCCTGATGATTCCCCAAAAACTAGAATGCAATGTGATGACCTCACTCCTTCAAAAGCTCATGTTTCATACAAAGATACGGTGATCGATAATTAAGATGCTTCATCAAATGAAAACTCAACTTATCTTGAAGACGAAGATATAGATCCTATGGAAGACGACGTCACTGTAAGTGAAGTAAATGGCTTGCCCTTCATAATTTTTTCTGAAAGTGTTCAATGCTTTGCGATACAAAGCATGGACCTTACTCTTGTGGTCAAAGTCCTCGGAAGAAGATTTGGTTTCAACACCCTTCATAATCGAATATTCAACATATAGAAACTTGTCCATCCCCTCAAGTTGATAGACATTGGAAATGACAATATCTTAGTCAAGTTTGCGACAAGAAATGATTATCTCAAAGTCTTCACAGATGTCACTTGGACTATTTTTCCGACATTATTTAACAGTGGAACCTTGGTCCTTAGATTTCAGCCCCTTTCCCCAGTCGAATCATGGCCTGGATTCGGCTCCCCGGTTTTCCCATCGCATGGTACAAACAA